TCGTCTTTAGAAGTTTTTGAGGAACAAGAAGTAGTAGTATCTTTTTTTTTTTTTTCAGACTTTAGAAACTCAGAAGCTGATCAAATATCGGGTTAAATATCGGTGGGGTGGCCGATGTCCGATATTCAGTTTTAAGGCCGATACCGATAGGGGGCCGATTATATCGTGCATCTCTACTTTCTTCGTTAGAGGGGTCTGAAAAATAGCTAGATAGAGCGACAAATTCGGCAAGTTGGCAACAGTCATGACTACAACATTCTCTTTCTTCTGTTTTTATTTTATCCACCAGCGTGAAGTCTTGCTTCCAAAACATGGACATATGCAAACGTAGATGCAGCGCATTTGAGAACGGGAAGAACATGTTTGCGAGCAGCAGCACCCCGAGCGCAGCCGCCAACCTCACCGTCACGTTCAGCAGCCAGCTGAACCAACACAATCAGGTGGGAAGATATTCTCTGACCTGCCTCTGGAAACTTTTACTCTGCTCATGTTTTAATCAGTAATATCCTCTTCTTCTTGTTATAAGTAAAGCCAGAGAGCGTTTAAACTGTGAACCTACTGACTTCACTAGCAGCATCACATAGACTTCAATGCTTGTTAATAAACCGACCAAAAGTGTGATAAAATGATTCATAGTTTAAAATAAATAAAATAGAAAATAATTTATTAGTGCGGAAACTGAAAAGCACTTTGGTTCTGGGCTTTGACTAGACCGCAATGACACATTTATTTGCTTTAATCTAAACTGATCTTTTAGTATGTTAAAGTTTGTCTGGTGGAAATAAATAAACATTTAATTTCGTCTGTTGTGGCTCTCAGATGGCGTCAACAGGAGGCCAGTCGCTGTCGCTCAGCAGCAATGTCCCACTGCTCAACTATCAGCCGGGTCTCTATCAGCAGGCCACCATCAACATCCCAGGCCTGACTCAGCAGAGCGTCCCGCTGCAGACCAGACCGACTCAGCTGTGTGCGCAGACGGAACCGTTTCAGCAGACGCTCATCGTCTGCCCTCCCACCATCCAGGGTGAGGGACTAACCCGTCTGATCATGAGCTGAATGAACTGACAGCCTGCTAAATGAACTGCATTTAATCTCCACATAGGGCTCCAAACTACCAGTAAGCCTTCCGGTTACCCCGTGAGAATGGATAATTCTGTACCCTTAGTGGCTCAAAACCAGTCCTCCCAGTCTCTTCACATCCAGCCCAGCATGCTGACTCAGGTACAGCCATCTCTTCCTCAGAACCGCTGCAGTAAACAAACTGAACGTCTGCATCTAACTCCCCTTTTTTATGTATAAATGAGTAGCAGGGCTGGCCAGCGGGGACACAGCAGATCCTCATCCCTTCCACCTGGCAGCAGATGCCCGGCATGTCCATCCACAACCCGGGTCAGGCCGTGGTCCCCGATTCGCCTGTCGGAGCTCCGCTGTCTGATGGCCAACAGGCCGCTGGATGGAGGTGGGTCACTGCTTCATAGTTCAATGCGACGGATCCAAAAAAAAAAAGGATAAAATGAAGTGATGCATGCTTTTCCTCCTGAAAAATTAGGGGTCGTCATGGCAACCAGTATGAAGGAGGCAGCCAGCAGGACTCCGGTGCCAGCCGCCATTCCGGCGTGCAGAACCACAGCTCAGGGGGCGCTCATGCAAGATCCCAACAAGGCAAGAGATGGAAGGGTCGACATGGCGACGGCAGAGCCAGGTAACAGTCCAGCTCAGTCACATGGCTGCGTTAAATTATCTAAATTACATACATGCATGCTGAAATATTTAGATTATCAAGAAGTTCAGGTTCTTTTTTTTCTTTTTTTTTTTCTTCCTTTTTGTTTTCTTTTTTCTTCTTTTTTATTGTAAGTTCATGTTCTTACAGTAAAATATTACATAAAATAACATCACATCGCATCGGAATAGTATAAATAAATAGTCTTTTTTATTCAAACATAATAGTTTTTCCACAGTTTTTGGTTATAATCGGGTTGCAAGTTATATTTTCAACCAATCTTTTGGCAGTATTTTTACCCAATCTATATAAACAACAAATCTATATTTGTACAGGGGCAAACCGATACAAATTACTCAAATTAGCCGAAATACTTGTTGTGTTTTATCGCAACTTTCAAAAGTCTGATGCTACGTTCAGACCTAAAGCAGCAAACGCAGCAGGAGCAGCTAGTTTCCAGGCAAAGTCGACGGTTGACGCGCATCAAGGTGCAGCAAAGAGTCATGCAGCGTGTCATGAGCTTCTGAGCATCTGACGAGCTACAAACACAGCAGCTAATGGAGTTAGCTCGACGCGCCACATCAACCAATCAGAGAAGCTGATCTGGGAGACAGACACATTGCTGATGATACACATCACTATGATCACTCCTCTGAAACAGTTTATTAACGCCTAGATTAACTTAAAATGACGAAATCTGCCAGCAAAACATGTTCGCTGTTATTATCCTGGTGCCTGCAGTTTCGATTACGCACATGAAAACAACCTTCCAGCCGCCGCGGCAAAGAGGCGACCAGGCCAGAGGCTGCTGTTTTATGGGATTCGCTGACAGCGCACCGCCGGTATGTGGGGGTCTGAGCAGCTCTGACAGCGAAATAATATTTGAAAGCAGGATGGTGATGAACGGACTTAAGTTTTCAGGTGGACTTCTCCTTAAAAACATATTAAAGTTTAGTTTTTAACCCACTGATTACATCAAGTATGGCTGCCATTGTTACAGGAAAAGAAATGATAGGGTAGCTCCTCTTAATGCGCATCAGACCCACTTTACAACAAACTACATCACACTAATGTTACAACTGTTACCAGTAGTCTGCTCAGATTTTGATCATTACATTGTTGGATCTAACCAAAATAGTTTTAACTAACTAGATTAGTTGGAAAAACAACCAATCTATTATCCAAACTCTAGCAACTCTCTAGCAAAGCTGCTACAAACTCCCACCTCTTCACTGAATACAGAGGCTGTTTAAAAGTGCCAGGTGAGCTGAACCTCTTCCCGAGGCGCTCACGTGG